AGTAACAAACATCCATCCATACATACAAACTTACGCCTTTATAATATTAGTAAGGATTTATCACCTATAAATACATCACCACTCAGAAAAAGGCGGGATGATAGCCAAGTTAATGAATATCTATCCATTTATCGATATAAAAACATCTGAAATAAAATAAATTAACATATTTATAGTATGATTAATGTTGCTAAACCGATATTACTAAATTAATAATCCATTATGTTGTCCGAATTGATTTTTCCATTAACCGTTTCTACACCGTTCAAGCCTAATTAAGGTGTGGACATGCGGTTAGGTGGTTAAACACCATAATTTCAATTCAACAATGCTTAGGTACTATCACATTCTGAGGTGTCGATTAAATGGAACAAATTAAATTTCATTCGCTCTGGTGTTTACAATCACTTAAATTTATTTAAAAAGTCACTTTTTAAAAGCCACTTTTTAAGTGCTCTAATCTATAGCACATACCGCTGATCAGTGGGGATTGTTGCCGATTTGACCCAGAAAGGTGTTTACAAAGAATTTATTTAATTAAATTATTAATTTACAAAGATTTTATTTAATTAAATTGTGATAATATTTGATCATTTTTTTAAAACTCTCTTATCTTAAAAGCTCTTACATTTTTAAAGCTCTTATCCTTTTTTTAAAAGCTCTTATCGTAGGATAACATAAGAGCTGTGTTGTAAGGACGTTTTACAAGCATAAATTTCACGGGGACAAACACCCAGATGCGAAACAATTATTTATGGGTACACAAATTGTTCTCCCTTGTGGGAATCTAATCCACGATCCCCGACGCCGAAGCCAATACCTTGGCAACTGCGCGACGGAGTCCTCAAGGATCTATACAAATACAAAAATGATATTGTTTCTTATAATAATAATATATAAAAACTCATGAATTATTAGTTTTCTCATTAAGTGAAAACTTATCAAGCGGGCAGATGGTTCACCTGGTGTTAAGTGATCGCCGCTCATGGACACCTACAAAATACGTTGCTAACCATTAAGTGATGTGTTTATTTAAATTAGTAAAGTAACAGCCTATAAATGTCCCACTGCTGGGCAAAGGCCTTAAAAAAGGGCATCAGGCCCTTTTTTATTGAGAAGGCCTTTGCCACAGTCCACAGTCCACTGCGGATTGGCGACTTTGTTCGAATTTTCATTTTTTCGAATGTCAAAAAATATTTTTTGACAGTAAATGTTATTATCATTCTATAATAACATTCATCATTATATAATAACATTTAAATAAATCTTTAGTTGTCAAGCATTTTTTCAATGAAACAGGGAAATTTCTCCTTGCTTACATTTCAAATGGAACGTCGCTTGAAAAAGTCTCATCCAATTTATTTCCATTGCCGAGAGATCTTCAATCATACGGTGTCACGATCAAAGGTAAGACATTTGCTATTCATTAACCTGCGCAATAAGTTCTGAAGATCTTGCTCTCGTTTATGTGACTTCGATGTCAAGTTCATTCACATCACTTTTGATTCGCTTGTGATTGTAAGGTCAATATTTCATTGTGTGTATATTTTAATCTAATATATAAAATTCTCGTGTCACGGTGTTTGTAATTGAACTCCTCCGAAATGGCTGGATTGATTTTCGTGAAATTATGTGTACATATTGGCCAGGGTGGAGAATCGGACAACATCTATTTTTTATCCCCCTAAATCTTAAGGGTGGTCCACCTCAAACATTTTTTAAATTTAACAAATAATTTATATGACAAAACAACGTTGCCCGGCACAGCGAGTATACTTATAAAAGGAGGATATAAAACTCTTTAATAACGTTTTTTTAATGCTGGTGTTTCACCTAATGTTAAGTGATAACAGAGTTGCAGACACGTAGCCACGTTTTAATATGGGGGCCCCGACCACCTTGCTCACCAGACGTAACGCAGAAGTATAAAACTTCCACTTCACGCCGGTTTTGTGTGATCGTGGTACGTTACGTACGTACCAGTACCCATTCGTGCAACAGCCGAAACTGTTCCGTGGCCCTACTGCAGTCAAAAACTTAAATATATCTAAGTATAGTTCAATTTCTATAAATCAATGTAACTTGCTTTTATGCAATGATATTTCAATTGCAAACGGTTATATAGTCATACTTCTTACCACTAGCTTGAAGGTGAGGAAATCAGCATAGTAAGAAATGTACAGAAATATATTTTAAGGACTTATGAAATTTCTCAATGAAGTCTTTCTCTCTTCTTTTTTTTATGATTTTTTTAACTGCCGCCCACAGACGTTTGCAACACTTGTTTCAAATGTGTTGCCAACTTTTAATAACGTGGACCCCGGCTGCCTCACTCACCAGACGAAACGCAGAAGTGTAACACTTCTACTTTACGCCGGTCTTCTGTGAGGTAGTGATACTAACCTGTAAATAAAATAATATAGGGTGTAGATAAATTATAAGATTTCACATTAGTTTGATGAGACTTTATTGACTCCGAACGAGTTATTATTTCAATGATTTACATAATAATGTATTTTAAAACCACCATTTCGCACAATACACAAGAATCGAAATTGAAAATGCATATAGCTTGTGATTAAAGAAATTCGATACTAAAAAATATACGCCCTTAACTAACATTAGGTCATTATCACTATGCAGGAGCTGTCATTTGAATGATATAAGTTCACAAAAAATTCTAAATAAAGATTTCTTAAATTAAATTACTCTTAAAACAAACTTAATATATTTTAGAAAACGCAAAGCAAATAACTATTTTTAACAACTAAAACCAGGTTTGAAGGAATGTAAAGAATTTCTTGCCTAAGTTTCTTTAGTTGAGCTTCTAGATCCATCGATAAAACTAGGCGTTACATAACATTGAATAATTGTGCTGAGTTCTGTTAGGTTGAGGTTTTAGACAATTATTTAAAATTAAATAATCACAAAGCAAATCAGTTCCAATTGCATCACACGTTATGAATTTAGCTAGTCGAGTGAATAGTTGTTATAGGGTTTCAAAGTTCATAATTTCACAGTGACTCCATGACATTATGAAATAAATGTAATTGTATTTCAGAACAAGAAAATTGTGTTAACCCAACATTAGTGATTTTCCCTTAACTCCCTTTTTCTCCTAAAATGTTCGTAACGACATGATTTTCCCTGAGTCAATAATAATCGCCTAAAGCCATAGAAACTCCAAAGAAGCAACCCCATTGGTTTATGTATATTACATTATTAAAAAAATTAAATCGTGACAAAACTAGATCTATATAATTTATATAATAATAAAATTTTCATTAAGCAATTTGTAATCCTAATCTTCTATCACAACATTCAAAGGCAATATAATAATTGGACCATTCGCTTGCCAAGGATGAAATATAGGAATATACGCAAATTCAATTTGCAAGTAACAAATTCAGCTAAAGCCTCCAACACTTTGGAGGCTTTTGACGAACACGGGTTTTTTGAAATGTCACAAAAAAGTATTAGTAGCCATACAACTCAAAACCCGTTGAGTGGTTAAAATTCTCCACATCAGGCGACAGAGCAAATAAATACAGAAGTGAGAAGCAAAACGAATTTGCAGAGAGTATCTGTCTTTTACCCCAATTTCGTTTGGTCCACGCTATTTGAAAATTCAGCGTAAAATTCAGATGGTGACTCCGTGATGCCTCATTGGACTGAAGTGTAATTGAGTTAATAATAAAGATGCTCTCTCTCCCTATCTCTCTCTCCCTCTCTATCTTCTCCCTCTATCTCTATTTTCTATAATTCTTGAATGAATGAATGAATGTCTGTCAAACTAACTTCTAGGTGATTGGGACAAAACGTCAAAAATGGAGGGAAAGTTCCAAATACGTAATACACTATTTGAGGAAATCAATTTGCGTGTTATCGTTACATTTTGGATGGGGGAAATTTTATGTGCGTTTATGTTTTAAGCTCTTTTATAATGTATGATTAATTAAAATGACACTGTTTACTTCTGAGATTATCTCGATTAATTGTTCGAATATGTAAAACAATTCGGTGTAGACTTTTTTATTTGTTCGTCGTTAATCACTCTTTTAATTGAACATAAAAATCTTTTTTTTTTTTGCGTAGATTCGGGCAGTACCAATTTCGTTGTGTTCGGTTATTTGTTAGTTTTTTATCGGGTGACTTATACTTTAATGTATTAGCTACCAACTTAGTTTTTTTGGGTTTTTACGTTTAGAACTTTTGATGGCATATTATAAGGATTTGACCACTACAGTTTTTTACACGTACCTGTCAACATTTGTGCAGATTTTCAAACAGTTTAATTGAAACGACTTCTGTTTATAAATCTATCACGAAGAATGAGGTATAGTGTTTTAGAAGAGACTAGAAAAAATATGTCAAGGAACCGATCACGAAGAGATTACTAAAGTTAGTTACTCAGAATTTAGAATTACATTCAAAAGTTGCGTGAAAAGTTTTAAAAATACAGTGCGTCTCTTATTCTAAGTAAAATGTAAAAGAGTTGAAATAGATAAAATGCTATTTACAATATAGCTACAGACTCGACGACTAGTTAAGGAATTAAATATATTACAAATAATAATATTCGAATCACAAACCCTTCTAGAATTTAATCTAGGTATTATATAAAAATATCACTTCAACTTATCGTGTCTAGCAAAAGGACAGTCGCGACCTCAAAACATTTACTTTTTTGTTACTCAAAAACGAAAATAAAAAAAAAAGGTAAACTGAATTGACTCTCTCATTTAGTGTTTATTTTCAATAGAAATATAATTTCCTAAAATATTTTGGGATTCTCCAATACGGTAGTAACAAAATCTTATTAAATGGATCTAATTGGACTATAAAAACAATTGGGTCCTAAATGAACTTCATCTCTGATAGTGTTGTTTAGCATCGCTTTTGATAGCTTCGGCGCTTTAGTACACTTTCTATTCTCGTTTCGGACTTTACGTATAGAATCTTGCTCAAGTCCTGGCGCGGTGCGCGGGTGCACAACATCACCGTCTTGGTTCCACTTTGCCGTTCTCTTTCACCGGCGTCTCCGCTGGTCGCTCTTTTGTCTCCTGCACCGACTCCAGGCCGATGTCGAACGACGCTTGCCTGCTGAAATAAGAACTTTATGAATTCAATAGTAGTAGTGGTTCAGTATCTTTCGTGTGCATTGCTTATTACATTACCAACTACACCGCTTGCCCCACTCCTCTTAAAATCGATCTTTCTTAAAACTTTAATAACGCTACATTAAATGAAGGCATCAACAATATGTCCTTTTTAGGGTTCCGTATCCAAAGGGTGAAATGGGGACCTATATTACCCTCCGCTTTCTGTCTGTCTGTTCCTCTGTCACCAGGCTGTATCTCATGAACCGTGATAGTTAGACAGTTGAAATTTTCACAGATGATGTATTTCTGTTGCCACTATATCAACATATAAAATAATAGTTATAATATAATAAAAATAGAATAAAATCATATTTAGGAGGGGCTCCCATACAACAGACTGTTTTTATAGATAATGGTACGGAACCCTCCATGCGCGAGTATCACTCGCACTTGGTCAGTTTTTAAGATAAGGGCCAAGTATCTAAGAAATACAAATAATAAGAAATAATTGAAATCTATTCGAAAATTTTTCCCTGATACACGTACAACGGGCAGACCTCTGTCATTTTATTCATCAGATTTTTACCTTTTTTTTAAGTGAAAAGTTGCCAAGCGAGCAGACGGTTCACCTGATATTAAGTGAATTCCGCCGCCCATGGACATCCGCTACACCCGAGGGTGGCAGATGCGTTGACAACCTTTTGCAAATTGGGCTCCGGCTACCTCATTCACCAGGCGAAACGCGAAAGTATTACACTTCCACTTTACGCCGGTCTTCTGTGAGGTCGTGGTACTTACCCGGACGAGCCGGCCCGTTCGTGCAACAGCCGAGGCTGCTGCGGCCCTACCACCGTAAACACATAACCTCTAACACCTTTCAGTGAGATAGTTTCCGGGCGCCGACAGCGAGCGTCCGGCCTTCGATAGTGGACTCCGGCGAGCCAGCTGTTTGTTCGTTTCGCTCTCAATTGACTCGCCCACGTTCGACTCCCTACGAGCGCTCCCCTCGCGGCTGCGTAGAAAGGGATTCTGGGAAACGTCGAATCATTTTCATTCAATTTCTGTATGAATTATCAGGTGAATGGATGATAGCGCACCATGGGTGTCAACTAAAACTATGTGTGGTGGTTTACAAAAGTTTACAAAAGAAAATTACAAACATATTAAACTGATACAAACATAAACTCAAGAGTTTGAAATGATCGGTGCTGGTGTTGTTTAAAATTTTTGTGTATCTATTGGTCAAATTAAAAAAAAAAATCGAAGCGACCTCTGAAGCTGTATTCGGTGATATTACAATAGATGTTTAAAGTAGCTCATTTGGTCCCGAAACAGGTGGCACAGAATATAGACAATGACTTAGCGTGTGATAAAATTCAACAAGGAGAATCATTTACACTCGCTACTGGAATTGGTACTAGGAACTAACGTCTCAGGCACTAGGGTCGAAAATAATTCACAACGTTTTCTCAGTTAAAATTAATTGTAATTTGTTAAAACCTTAATAATTTCTTGTATTTACGCGATTACACATTATAAATGAAACTAATTTTACGGATTTATCGCGTTTATTTTTAATTTTAATTCCCGACGTTTCGAACCCTTTACAGCGTTCATGGTCACGGGACAGTACAATAATGTAAATTATGTAAAATGTAAAGTAACAATAATGTTAAAAGCTTTTTAAACTAATTATAAAAATTTCTATTTGGGTTACAATATTGTCTACAGCTCTTTAAGATGAAAGACGTAGAAACTTGTATAAATTACTTAGATTTTTCTTTTTGTAATATTGAAGCAACATTCCTGCAGAATATTAAAGTTAACCGTAACGATGAAAGAAAGTTGAGAATTTAATAAATTATATCTGTGTATATAGTTATGGTGTATGTAGTTTATTAATATAAGTTATGGCTATGATAGGCAAAAGAATAATGACTTATCAATGTAATTGACTTTGTTATTAGTGTCATTAAGTTATTTACCTGAAAGCTATGTTTTTTGAGCATTGTTTTGATGAGTATCAGAGTGGAGAGGTTCGGGATTGAGGTGACGACTTGTGCCATATCTTCGTCGGTTACTTCGACCAGTCTACAGTTCTCTTGCTCTGAGGGTAGAGGGTCTTTACCACCGTCCGTTACCCACTCGTGGTCCTGAAACAAAACATTGTTTAGCTCTTTTAGAAGAAGAAGAAACGTTTTAGGCAGTTACAAGTTCCGATGTCTACACAAGGATCTATTTGATGATTTAAGATTTATTAGCTTCTAACCTCTGTACATGGGAGGACTCTGTCATATTATTTAATAGATTTTTTGAGTGAGAAGGTTGAGGTGAGAAGGCTAGCAAGCTGACAGTTTACCTGATGTTAAGTGAATAACGTTGCATCAACTTCTACAATAACTGGTGTTGCTAACATTAGAAAAGGAACGCATAGAGGATAAACATGGAAACAATTTTGTTTATAACACTGATGTGCAACGTAAGGAAATAATTAATATAAGCTTGGTAAGATATAGCATAATCATTTCGTACTTGTAATAATTAAAAAGCTTTCATTGAATGAAAATATTTGTGATTTCATTTCGATAGTCTCAAATAGTAGAAACTAATACAAAAAGAATACCAAATATAACTTAATTGTTTTAATTAGCTGATACCCGCGACTTCGTCTGCGTGGCCTATAGTTTTATAATGTATTTTATTTGTAGAGCCAAAACCACTGTGTTTATAAAAATCGTTCTTTAAAATTTTTTTTTACATTAAATGAACATATCACAAATTTTTTCAAGATAACGTCCTAGTGCCTATGAAATAAAACTTAGAATTAATTTAAATGTATCCAATAGTTTTTTCGTCATACGTGGACAACAGAAGACCTCTATCATTTTACTTATATAGTAAGATAAAAACTCCACGACGTTATGTCAATAAGAAGCGAGATTTTTCCAAAAGTAAAATCCATAAGCTTACTTTTATTTCTTGCATCGTTGCCCTCGTGTTTGGATTCTTGTCGAGCATTCTCGCTAACAATCGACGAAGTTGACGGGACAGTGCGGGTTTCGATGGGAACGAGAGGTGTTCTGTCAGCACCCGCTTTTGCAGCTCGACCGTGCTCTCACCGCACCATGGAACTCTGCCCGTCACCATAGCGTACAAGGTGATGCCAAGCGACCAGATATCCGCCGCCTGTCCAACGTTTCAAAATAGACAATAACTGAAAAAATCGATAACCTATACAGATTTCGTTAACTTGCAAAATTATCGTATACAATCGACTTTTAAGTGAGATGGTGTCGAATAATGAGGTACATTCACTTGCAACGATTTCCGTCTTATTATTCATGCACATTTTTTTTAAAGAAGAAGCCGTTGAGTGGGCTTTAACGGTAAAATCCAAGTCAATTTCGCTGCATATTTTTTCTATTTAATGTTGCTAAATTTTTACTCGAGTACATTTAATATTTTTTAGCTTCAACTTTTTACATTCTAGCACGAAAGTCCATGATAAAAATGTGTTGCTCTTATGACTGATGGCTAACCTCTCCTATATACTTGTCTGCTGGTGCGAAGGCCTCGGGTGCTCTGAAAGCTGGTGTACCAACAGCTCCAGAAAGCTTTCCAGCACCAGCTAACTCTCCGCACGCCCCAAGGTCCGCTACTTGCACTCTACCCTCTCCAAGTAGTAAATTCGCTGGCTTAATATCACGGTGGGCTATCCGTTGAAAATGTACTGAAGGTGAACAATGTAGATTAGAACCTTGCGGATGTTTAGAATGATTGAACTGTTAGCTGGATAGTTCAATGATACACTTACAGTACTCAACTCCTAGTAACGCATCTCTAAAATATTTTCTCGCTACGTTTTCAACTAAAGGGTTTTCAGTCGGTATATCTATCACAGGGCCGCCTTCTAACAGCTGGAACACTAAGTACAATTGGTCTTCAGCTGGGTCATCTAAGACCTGTAAATTAGGAAAAAATGTGCATTAAATTTTACGAAACGACTTTTATCAGGTGACAAATTTAACAAAAAAGACTTGTGTGTACCAAAAGAAAATCTTGAAAATGTACTCGTCTTTTTGATATTTACATTTTGTTTACCTCAACTAATTTAACTACATTAGGGTGATCTAATTTCTTGAGCACTGCTATCTCCCTGTAGACCCTTTGGAGTGGATCAGGTACCGGGCCGGGTCCAGGCCTTCTCGGTGGAGCTCTCCCGAACAGACCAGCCCGCCTCATCAGCTTTCTCTTTGAAAGGATCTTCATTGCCTGCAATAACATCATTTATCTAATACTTGTTGTTATCCTTCATCTAATATACTTAATAAAAGATCGTCCACATGATGTCATTGTAAAATACTAATATTTTCCATTATAAACAAAGGTTAAAAAACTCTGAATGCTTAAAGTCTGAAATTATCTCTTTGTACTTTTCATCATTCGCTAGGTAAATTTTTAGTTTTAACTTAGAGACACGGTAAATTTCTAAAAGTACACTCATGTCGACGAATGTATTGAAGATGTTTAAAAAACTATACTAAATTTATGTAGATAATAATTATTATAATTTAAACAATGTAAAAAAATTATAGATGGAGACGTTAATAACTAATCATTTAGCAATAGATGATTATATACGAGCATATTAGGTATCGGTTATCGTTGTTTTCAATTCGGTCAGCTGCTAATTTCTTTTCGACGAATTGATATAATTGATGACAATTGTATTAGATATTAATAAAACATAATGTTCTTAGCAGTTATCGTCTTATCTTGATGTTTTCAAATGGAATATTTGTAACTAATACTTACGTAATGAGTATCATCTTCTTCGTTGTAGGCTAACTTAACAATACCGTAGGAACCCTGGAAGACAATTTAGTATTAATAAGGCCATAATAAATAGGTATATCCAATATTTATAATATAAAACGTCTCATTTAGACATATACAAATTTTATTACTTCGATAGTAAGGAGATGTTTCAAGACATTCTCAATCAACAGCCTTTTTAAACATATTTTATCAATGCACTAATATGTTCAATAAACTTTTAATTAAGCTATAAAATTTGCTTTGCTGGCCGATAAAAGTTTTAATAAGAACGAAAGCTTTTTTCTTATTAAGTTATGTGTTAAATATTGTGAAAGTAATAATATGAACTGGAAATAAGTAGTTTTTGCTGAGCCCACCTCTATTCAACCAAAAATTTTTATTTACAATAATTTAAAAATGTTTCATTTTATATATTTTTTTCCCTTTTTTTTTGCGACACATTTTTACACAACGTTTTCTAGTCTCAAACAACGCTTGTACTATGGGTACTAGATAACTGATGAACATACTTTTTTTTTGGTAAATAAATACATATTTATAGACAGCCACTGGAAAAACACTAAGTTCATCACACAATATTTTACCAGTAGCCCACACCCTCCGGCGCAAGAGGCAGGGTCACTACCCACTACCCGATTGGCGTAGTGGGTAGTGACGCTGCCTATATCCCTCTATTTTTAACTTTGAGTAGGTAGTTTTAAAAGATTTTAGCCGTGATATACCTGTCCGATTGGCTCGAGCAGCCTATACTGGTTGAGTTGGACGTAGCCCGATGCCTGCGCCAGCGACACTCGTCGAGACTCCCGCGGGGCCCTACGAGGCCTAGGGGACCCCTGGACACTGCATTCGGCCGACTTGGCAGTGTGTGAACGGAAGAGCGTGGAACGATCAGCGCACGTCGATAACCTGGCATTGATCGAGATAAATGCTGTAGGTAAGATTGAATTAATAAATGTAGCAAATACTGCGGTAGGAGCACGCAACTGAGTCCGCTGTTGCACGAATGGATAGGTCCGTCCGGGTAAGTAACAAGACGTAGGCTTCTGCAATCTAAGCGTGTTGAAAATTTCAATGTGCTATGCCTTAATATCAGGTGACTACTTGCTAGCTTGCCACCTTCTTACACAAAAAAAATTCATATATATATATATATATATCTCTATAATATCATTGATATTTGTACAAGCGACTAAATTTCTAGCATTTTTAACAAGTTCTTCACTTCCTTTCTTAATGTACTTGCATCAGTCACCGATAAAGGTTAAAAGGCGCGAGAATTCGTATTATGATGTATTAAATTTACCTGTCCGTGCCATCCGGTTGCTGCCATCTTTTCTCAATGTCATGTTTCCTGTTCGTTTCAGCACTGACGTCCACCGCTGAATGTCTGCAAGAGAAATAAGACTCAATTACCTTCGAAACATTTATTTTTGCTATTATTTCGAAAATATGCAGGATTCCTCACGACGACCCTTCACTTCTGATCGCGTATTCAGCACTTAAAATGGTCAGTTTCATTGGTGCTGGCAATGGGAATTAAAATCAGGCTGATGGATTATATTGAATTAAGAGCGAGCGCCCAGACACTGAGCTATAACAGTTGCTTATTTATGTCATCGTTCACCAACTTTAACAGTAATCGAATGGAAAACGCTTGGTTTATATTTTACTACATCATCATACTGTTAGTAAAATTAGTCCTATTTCTGGCAGTGACAATCTGCTCTTCTCATAGATCCTATATACTGTTTCTCGTACAAGATCATGTTTTAAGAGTAATCATAGTTTAGTTTGCCAACTATTTTACAACCCTAAAATATGTTAACATTTGAGCTTATATTTCACCAGTGTGTCTTTAAGTTGCAAACTGGGTTTACAAAAAATAAGATATGTCTTTCATTTCTCATTGGGTCAAAATGATGAAATGTAAAACGTGTACATCCTTCAACAAAACCTTACTTTTATTATTATTGATGGTCAAATACACGTATTATCACGTGATAAAATCTGTAAACAAGATGGTCACGAGTTATAAATAACATGCTTACATTAGTGATAAGCGTGTTACAGCGAGTGTTGTGAAAATTAATTCGCACTTTTATCCAGGGTTAACTTGTTTTGAACATCATAATCTGTGATAATTTTTAGAAGTTGTTTAGTACTAAAAATAAGTTTTATAGTACTTCATCCGATTGGGCTCTTAACTAAAATAGTTATTTGGATAACAATTAATTCGTCGGAACCTGCTTATCCTCAGACTAAAATATAATAAACATATTAATGTGTTTATCATCTTCATTTTTCTATTAACACTCCTGCAATACACGCAAGCTTATCCTCTATTTATCTCTATCGAAAATAATTTAATCTTTTACTTTTTTTTACCATCTTCTCATCTTTACAGTCCATCTACGAATTATTAGGACTGACTTCATTTTTATAGCCCAATATAGCCATGTATAAAATATTAATGTCTGAGAAACTAATTCCTTTTCATAAAGCCTCTGTATTTAAACTTAAACCATTAAGTGGTTACATTGAATGTTACCTCATGATGCAGTAAGTATAATTGTTTAAGCGACTAGCATGTATTTTAATCAGTGATTAGAATTGTATCAAAGTAAGTTTTTATGATACTACTAGCTGTAGCCTGCAACTACGTTTGCATAGAATAGGCTGAAGACAGATTACATAACATTCAGACAGAAAGACAGATATACATAAAATATGTAATGGTACATTACAGCCTATGTCTTATTCTGATGTATAAGCTATATTATTGTAAAGTTTCATCCATTCCAAATCCATTCAGTAGTATTTGCGTGAAAGAGTAACAAACATCCATCCATACATACAAGCTTTCGCATTTATAATATTAGTTAGTAATACTATAAATTGTTTAATATCACTCTCAAGTCTAAGCCGCCCCTCGTTATGTTTCTCACTTGACACTTGGTCCTTATTTTTTATCATCACTATATTCACCCGTTTTTAGGGTTCCGTACCCAAAGGGTAAAACGGTATCCTATTACTAAGACTCCGCTGTCTGTCTGTCCGTCTGTCACCGGCTGTTATCACAAAAGTCAAAGTCAAAGTCAAATATCTTTATTCAATATAGAAGCATTCACTTACTTATTGATAGTCAAAAAACTCTACCACCGGTTTGGAAGGTAAGCCACTGACCTGAGAAGAACCGGCGTAAGAAACTCAGCGGGACATTATTTTTTTTTACTTGCCGAAAAAATTACAAATATGTGTACAATTATTAAACTCCACTTGAAGCGATCTGGAGCGATCAATTCATTTCCAGAGTGTGTTATCATTCATATAATCACTAATACTATAATAGCCATTAACACACAGATGATGTGTTTCTACACTGACGCTATAAACACAAATACCAAAAAATAGAATAACTAAAAAATATTTAAGTGGGGCTCACATACAACAGCCAGGATTTTTTTGCCGTTCCCATAGATAGTGGTACGGTACAGGGTACCAAATAGGAAGGGTCCTGTGCGAGGCCGACTCGTAGTTGGTCTGTTTATTAAAATTAAAAATCCTTCCCATAATTAGAAATTAAGCTTTTAAAACTCGACGGTAACTTGACTGGTAGTTTGTAGACGTATCTTCTTTGAGATTGTTGCTAACTGGACAATCTTTGCCATGGATCCAAAGGATAGCTGTGATTTTTGATATTTTTATTTGCCTTACTATGCAAGAACTCATTATGGCAGTTTAGGTTGATATGAATAAAACATTATCTATAAATAAGGTGGTAGCGAATTTGTGAGCCAAAATCGATAAGTGAACTCCAGACGAATTATGGCTTATTGGATTACTTTTGTCTTTTTTCGTGTGGCTAATACGACGTAGCAAACGGGATTAAGGAAGATATGATGTGTGCCTTTCGCGACTTTGTGTCAACCTTGTTCACTTACAATAACTTGAACAATATTTAGATTGGCGACAAAGATTTGCTTTGTCTTTTTCTCTGTGTTTGTATATCCTTCTAACCTTTATATGTACTATTTTACTTAACTTTTATCAGGATTAAGTAACGTAACCGTGTATTATTTATTATATTAACATTAAGTTTAGATTTTTAATGTCGACGAGTTCTTTGTCTTTTTTTTCATAATTTTATTTATATTGCTCTAAAGGTTTAGATAGAAATGATGTTTTTGTTGTGACATTAGTTGATAACATAATGGAATGTTGTGTATACCTCTAATTAGCAAACATATGTAATGTTTTTTTATTACTTTTGTTTAATTTTTATCTATTTTTATATTATTGATGCTGTAGACATAAAGAAAGGAAAAGAAATTTATTAAAAACACCGTAATATCTTATGCAATGAAAAGGTGTTAAACATTTCGGTTCCACGGCACGGATAAAGTTATGAGATGAGCTCTATACTGCGCAGTTTTCGAATTTCCTTCATTTACATATTCATGAGGTCCCTTACGCGTCGTCAGATATATCCCTTTGAGTTTAAATGTGGTACATCAATTTTAAACTTGCAGCCCGAGCGAGGTCACGCTGTCGTATTCAGTTATGGCGAAACTTGCTATTAGAAGATGTCGTCTGCATAACACAATGTTTTCTAACCGTCTCATTCATATTCAAGAAATATAAAGGTCGACATGAGGTACTTTTGTTTGCAAACAGGCGTTAGTACATCGTAACTAATCGAAAGTTTGAACAGAATAATTTGTTTGTCGGAAGTCCGTTGTTAAGGTAAAATAAAAACCACATAATGGTTTGTAAATATTTTCAAAACTTCACAGGCTGACACGATGTAAAGTTTTGAGGTCCATGGCGCAAAAATTATAGTTCATTACATTTTTTAATATTTTTCCACCTACGGGTAATTCTTCGATAAATTTATTTGAATTATGACGCCACATTCTTCGTGACACTATCAGATTTTAGACGAAATTATACAATTTTGAGCAAGTTTGTTTTAAAATAAAAATGTACTCTTATTTAAATGCTTTCAGAGATACTCTTTTACGTTTGTATACATAAAAATGTAATGTCTTTATTACTATACAATTTCTTTGGTAATATATAATTAAAATATTAAAACAAATATCATCTCTATATAGTATTTATCCAATGGTGATATGCAATGAAAATAGGTCTGAAACTAAGGTTATGTTATGTTGTTTTTCATTCCTGAATTGCGTTGGCCTGAAAATATTCTTATTGGAAGTCGTTTCCGAACTACTTTGTGATTTGATTAGTAAAGGTATTACCGACTATACGTGTAATTTACACCACCAAATAACGTAGCAATAACGTAGCAACGTCCTCCTTGTAGATTCGACCCCCAAACATTTCTGAGATTAGCAAATACTTGTTATAATGTTTAAATCTTTGGTATGCTTTTGACACAGGCCTTGTTCTCTTGTTTCCTTATGTCTCTACTTTAAAAAAAAAAAAATTAATTTAAGCAAATTCTTCGAAAGAAAAAAGGCTTACATCACTTCACCTACCTGTATACGCAGTAAAGAATCGCAGCAAAACCTATTTTTTGCCATTATCTCTCCCGTGAACGACCACCAAATGTCAATGGACCGTCTTTGTTATGAACTAAAGCTCAGATATGAGATTCTGATTGCGCGGAGTCAGGATAGTAATTTATGTTTACGAAGCCTCGTTCAACTGTTTACGTGTCGGTATGCCTGTACACGAACTAACAATAAACAATCACTCGTAATTGCCCATCAGGCGATATTATTGCATGAATTACGAGTACTTACGTTTCGTGTGTATGACTAACGGAATGGATTCATTCGTATAAATTACTCCGTATTAACAATTTAGCAGTCGCCGGGTGCATGACATAAGCGTTGTATTGTTCCATTCTCGAACGGGTTCCACGTTTAACCGAACTATAGAGCGTGTCTGTTTAGTTAATATTGTTAGTTACGCCCGAAACTTGGTACAACAATAAATGATTTTGAAATTAAACTTTGGGGCATTTGGGAAAAAAATTGAGTAAAATTTTTACGATGCGCGCGCGAAGCGACAGTGACATGATAAAGTTGGTTGCAAAGCGACCAACCAATTAAATGTAAAAACTGTAATGGAAAAAATGTAAAAACTGTAAAAAAACTGTAAATATGTTTTCTTGTATATATTGGCTTCTCTTGTGTATATTTGTCATATTATCCTTGGTTATGAGGAGAACAAAAACGACTCTATCGAAAGTTCGTAGTAAAAGAAATGTAAAACGAATAAATGATATATCCGTCCTACTAAATATTACGCATTATTTTCCTAACGGTGATTTATTATTACATTTTTATAAATCCCTGTTCTTATGTCAATTAAATTACATGTTCCGATGCTTGTCGCTGCGCGCCCACGCAACCT